TTAGGCAAGGGGTGAGGCACAGGTGTTCCAGGAATAACCAAGTAAGAAATATTAAGTTGAATTACTATCAAACCCATGTGAATCATTTCATCAATATCAACCCTCTTAGGTTGGCACAACAGGGTGTCATTGGCTAGGTCGATTCCTACATGCCTAGCAAGTGGGTTAATGTACCCAACAATGACAATCTTGCCAGAGGTGGCCCGACCAACTCTGGTGAATTGGCTAAAAATCCATTTAGTGGAATGGATGGGTATCTTATGGATCATAGCATACAAAAAGTACAATTCGGCGGCCCAAATGGTACCTAGGCTTTCAAAACGCCCAAAAATAGAGCGAGCCATGAGCCTTTAAAGATATCTGAAAACAAGTTGATGCATTAAAGAGGCTTTGGTAGAGGAGGGATCATAACGTTCCCTAGCTCGTGAAAGTTGGTGCCAAAAATTATTGGCATTGAAGTCCCTAGGAATGCGAGCAGTATTCGTGCAAGCTAAAGCGTTGACGAACATAGATGGAAAACCATAAATGGGGTCCACATATGCCAAATTCATCCTAAAATCAGTGTTATTTAGCCTAAAAGTAATCTCCCAATTAGAATCATTTGCACAAGGTTTAATATCAATGGAGCTAAGAAATTCTAAAGTAGTGCATTCATAGCACGACTCATATAGCTCAATAAAGTCCTCCCAACCCACATTCTTGCAATACTTAAAAATATCTTCATAAATCCCAAGGTTGAGTAATGATTTTTTTGTAGAAAAACCGTGTGGGAACAATGTCCCTCTTGGTCAAGGAATTAAATCGCATCTGCTGGTCATCAGATGTGCACTCAATATTGTCAACTCTAGCATAGTTAGAGGTCTTAGAAGTGTTCTTCCTCTTCTTTTCAATAATTTTGGTTCTTTCGGAAGACATTGTGTTGGCATCTAAAATCCAAGTTCATGTACATATACAAAATATGTCATTAGCATCACCACAATTAAATATCTAGGAATGATAAATGTCTAAGAATCAATGTGTATAAAACAACTTATAAATATGCGAAGGTAAGAACAAGAAGTTGCCATAGACATTTTATCAAACACGTGGTAAGCATAAGAAATTGGAACTAAGAAATCTATAAACATGCACCTTAAAGTTTCCCAAATTCACAATTTACACTATACAAATGAATAAGAATGAATTAAATTGTCAGATATGTAGCGTGGAGTGTCAATCATGAAGAAAAAGGCATATGTGTTTCAATGAACAATGAAGAACATGATGAACATGATAATCGTGAATAAAAGTTTGATAATAGTCCCACATGAATTTTTAATCACAATAATCAAATATGAACATATGTAAACCTTCCCACATGATCAATTTCACCAAAAACAAATGAAAATATCAAGTACGAGAAAACCCCATATTAGTATGATGATTCTTACTTGATGAATATGGTAGAAAGAGATGATGTAGATGTGATAATGAGTGAAAGGAATTCGTGGAACTGAACGAGGTCAAGGAATTTCTTAAGTTAAGAGTGATTGGGAGGGGTAGTGTCTAATGGTGAGGGAGAGTGCAATAGGGAATGGAAAACATAGATGATGTGCGTGTGATATAAGATAAACAACTTGTAATAAATCACGATCCATTGCCAGTGGAAAAAATACACTGCCAATGGGTGTCTCTGACTTGGACCAAAATTATTCACGCATTGTACCTGTCAAGACCCACGACCGGTGGGAAAAACACACTACCTAGGTGGATTCCCACGACTTGAAAATTTTTCTATTAATAAACTATTTTAAACTCGGATTGAGAATATATTAATAAAAAAAAATATAGATAAAATATTTAGAATTAAAATATACAATTATATACGTTTTATTTTCTATTAGCATTATTTAAACTTAAATTGAGAATATATTTATAAAAACAAATATATGAATAAAATATTTAGAATTGAAGTATATATATATATATATATATATATATATATATATATATATATATATATATATATAAAAGAATTTTTATGAATTAGACATGGATGATTATCCTCCTTAATTTGAAATTGAATGTAATACGAAAAAAAAAATTTGAGGGAGTTTTAAATTGTATAAACTTTCTAGGGTTTTAAATTTCATATAGTTTTAAATTACTTCCTAGATTAGTTAAAATCGTCCGTAACTTATTATTAATGGGATATTAGTTTTAAATTACATTTTTTTTATAATAAAATGTGTTTTTGGAAACTAGAAAATATCGCTTAGTGTAATTAGGATAAAAAATAATTGTTTACGGTGTATGTAACTTAAAAAAGGAGATAAAAGAAAATGATAAGAGCTATCATGAATTGATGAAAAAAAAAATAGACAAAGGTGAAATATATAACAATATAACTTGTAATAAATAATAAAAAAATTAAAATAAGTTTTTTTTGTTATAAAAATCATAATACGAAGTTAAACATTAATTTAAGCTTGAATAATGCCAAAAATGACTTTTTTACCGATATAATATATCAGAATCTCTAATTAATATATTTCTTGAATTGGACCTTTTTTTCTGTTGTATTTGGAATTCAGTTTCCTCTAAATCGAATTCTAATTTTAAATTTATTATTTTTTAAAATAAAAAATTAAATAAAAATATAATTAAAAATAAAAAAATTATATAAAAATAATATTAAAATAAAATTTTAATTTTAAAATTTAAATAATATTTATATATAAAATAATAAAAATAATGTATTATTTAAATATATATTAAATTATTTAAATATATTTAAATAATTATTAAAAATATTAAATAATAATTTTTTATTATATTTATATATATATATATATTTATTTTTGAATAGGAAATTTAAAATTTACATATTTTTTTATTATATGAATTATTTAAGTTATAATTTTAGAAAAAAATAGAATAAATAAAAATTTAATTTAGGTAATATATTAAAAAAATTAAATATTATATTATAAAAAATTATGTAATAGTTTTTATTTGATAAATTATAAATATTATATTAAAAAATTCATGCTAAAATTAATTTTTTTAAAATAATAAAGTAAAAATATTATTTAATTAGTTAAAAATTATTATTATTAATATAAAATAAACTTAAAAATAAAAAATAATAAAAATTGACAAAATTTAATGTATAATATTCAAAATAACATAATCATTGATAATAAAAATTGAAAAATAAAATTATTAATAATAATGTTAAGAAAATTTTAATCTCCAAAGTGGTGTCCAGTTCCACAATAAGGACAACGTCTATTACGTTTTTGATTTGGTCGGTGTGGTTGTTCTTGAATTTCGGGAGAAATTTGTGGAGAGTTTTCTTCTTCATGAACCTCCAGATTTTGGAATGTAGATGAGGAACTACGGTTAGTTAGCATAATCTGGTTGGTAAAGAGAATTGATGTAAGTTTGAGTTGAAGCTAGAGTTGAAAAATCTACTCCAAATAAGTTTGAGAAGATATCCTCCGAGGTTGTTGCAAAATAATGTTTTCCGTTAATTGTATTGGGTTACGGCGTCACAATTATTTAATTAGTTAAAAATTATTATTATTATTAATATAAAATAAACTTAAAAATAAAAAATAATAAAATTTGACAGAATTTAATGTCTAATATTAAAAATAACATAATCATTGATAATAAAAATTGAAAAATAAAATTATTGACAACAATGTTAAGAAAATTTTAATCTCCAAAGTGGTGTCCGAGTTCCACAATGAGGACAACGTCTATTACGTTTTGGATTTGGTCAGTGTGGTTGTTCTTGAATTTCAGGAGAAATTTGTGGAGAGTTTTCTTCTTCATGAACCTCCAGATTTTGGAATGTAGTTGAGGAACTACCTGGTTGGTTAGCATAATCTGGTTGGTAAAGAGAATTGATGTAAGTTTGAGATTTGAAGCTAGAGTTGAAAAATCTACTCCAAATAAGTTTGAGAAGATATCCTCTGAGGTTGTTGCAAAATAATGTCTTCCGTCAATTGTATTGGGTTCTGGAGTCACAAATTATTGAGGTAAGGAAACAAGTTGTTAAGGCTCCTCATACGATGATATAGAAGTTGCATCAATTTCAAAAGTGGCTCCAACTTGTGGTTGTTGACGGACTCTTGGATCTTTGAGCAATTGTGGTACGAGATAGAAAAATACATAATTAAATTTTAACTTAAATAATTCATATAATTAAAAAAATATATAAATTTTAATTTTTATATTAAAAAATAAATAAATAAATAAATATATATATAAATATATTAAAAAATTATTATTTAATATTTTTAATAATTATTTAAATATATTTAGATAATTTAATATATATTTAAATAATATATTATTTTTATTATTATATATATAAATATTATTTAAATTTTAAAAATAAAATTTTATTTTAATATTAATTTTATTATTTGTATATAATTTTTTTATTTTTAATTATATATTTTATTTATTTTATTTAAAAAATGATAATTTTAAAGTTAGAATTTGATTTACACAAAACCTAATTCTAATTGAAACAGGAAAAAAAAATCTAATTCAGTAAATAAATTGATTAGAAATTGAGTATATATATATTATAATAATATTATATCAGTCAAAAAGTCGCCAAAAACTAACATTTTTTTTATAACGATAAAAAGATCTCTCCCTTTGCCATAACTATATGATAGGGTTTTTAAAATATATTTCTTTTTACTCTTCAATCCGTCACGTTTATATTATTATTATATTTGTTTTTTTCTATCTTTTTATAAATCATAATAATTTTTTTTAATATTGTTATAATATTTAAGTGATGAAAAAAAAATATATATATATATATAACACAATTTTGTTTTTAAATGTCTGATAAATATGGAATGTTATTTTTAATTTCTGACTTAATAATCTGTGTTTAAGTCTTAACATCGCAGACTTAATGGTCTGCATTTTTTAAGTCTTAACGTGACGTTATGAAGAAATGGTCTGTGCTTAAGTCTTAACGTCACAGTATGACAAATATATCAGCTACCATGAATGTGAAATCTTCTCCTTCTTTTAGTTCAGAGGGGATGATGAGAACGAGCATGACCAATGTATTCCTAAAACCCTATCTCATCACCCTTCCCTCAAAATTCGTGTTCCCTCACACAACCAAACACTCCCTTGCTATTACCCTTAGAACCACTTTCTTCATCCCACACTTCTCTACTTCTCCTCTCTCTTATGGACCCTCCCTCCGCAAGGGTACCATCCCCTCCCAATCCCAATTCCAAACCTCTCAAAACCAAGACGAGGACGTCCTCCGTGAAGAAGCTTTCACCCGTGTCTTCCTCCTCGCCGCGCTCCGCGTCCCCTCCGCCGAATGCTCCGCCCTCGAAAGTCGCCTCCGCGGCCACCTCCTCAACTGGTCCCGCATCCGCAACATTGCGCGCGTAGCCGGCGACGACCTTGACCCTAGCCTCGCCCCTCTATTACCTCAACAAGTTAACGGTAACGGCAAATTGGAAAGTGAAGAAGAAAGGGCTCTCGTCTCGTTGCAGCGCAGGATCCACGGAAAGGCCGACGGCGACGGAGAAGTTCTCAGTCCCGTCCTGTACCGCGACAAACTCGCGAGGACGTTCAACTCGCGCGGATTCGTGAAGTTCCGCAACCTCGCGAAGATGTCGCGGCCGAACAGGAATAAGAAGAGGAGGAAGAGGAAGGAGGCGATGGAAGTGGAAGGGGGTGGGCGCGTGGGGCAGAACGGTTTTGCCGCGGTTGAGGTTGTTGAAGAGCAAGATGAAGATAGTGGTGGTTTGAGGAAGTTGCTGGGAGAAGAGTTTGGAAGGAGCAAGTGGAGGGGTTCGACAAGGTTGCTGCTTCTGGACGAACGCTATGCGGGTCGCGGTGTGGAGGAGTTGCCTGAGGCAATTAAGGTGTACCTCTGTTTTTTCAGCACTCACAGATTTCTGTTCCGTGAGTTTTCACTGTTTATACGCCTTTCTGTGCCTATTGTTGTGTTGTGTGGGTGATTGATTTTCAACTTCTTGTGTACATTAACGAAGAAAAGAGATGATTGAAGTCATATTGATTCAGGAATGTTTGGATAACCTTTTACTAAACGTTCTTGGGATAAGTAATGAAGACGAAAAAATAAAAGAAAATTCTAAAATTAGTTTAGGAATAACTTTAAAACCATCTTTTAGAGAAACTGACCTGAGATTACTTCTACTAATTAGTTCTTGCATAATCTAATTTTAGTTTATGAAGAAACTCCTTTAATATTTCATTCTTATTTTCTTATCTTAAAAATATCATGTAAAAGTTTATCCAAACATGTTCGCATGACCAAGTTATAAGGTGCTGTTGGTACGGCAATGTTCAATGTTCGTTGTAAATGCTTTATGTATGGTCAACGAGCAAATTTTTTTTTTCTTGATAGCACAATACCTTGTCTAAATTAGTAAGGGGGGATTTTTATTTCTTAAAATAGATAAGTGTGTCTATAGATAGTCCGTGGCACTTGGTTATTTTAATGATAAAAATTAACTGCGACAATAAATTGTTTATCGCTGCAAAGATAGTGGTTCTTCAGTTATATTGTATTGGGACTGGGAGGTTTATTCTTGATGTTGGTCAATTTGGATGTTCATTTGTAATAAAGGAGGTATTCAATCCACAAATATGCAGTACATTGTGATACTATGGTGAACTGTAAATCATCTGAAATCATATTGGTTTAACTGTCATGACCTTTTGTTTCATATTCTTGTTAGTTTATGTGACTTCACACAGGCCATCTTGGCCTTTGTGAAATTTTTGGGTTATGTTGGTGATTTTGGCAGAGTTTATATTGTTTGTCCTTGAATTCCACAGTACCAGAATTATTTTAGGACTCTTTTACAAGTTTGAATATTGGTAGGTCAAAAGTGAAATAGTGAACATTTACCAAACTATATTGAGTTTAGAATTTTCATTAGATACTGATATTATTTAGTATTGGTCTGATGTTGGATATCTCCTCGATCTTTCATGTTTCATCTCTGTTAGATATGATTAGATATTAGTTGATATTGTTGAGATATTGTTAGATATTGTTAATCACAATATCAAATAATATCTTTTTATTTACTCTATTTGTATTCTATTACTCTTTTGAGGAGTACCTTTCTTTATTATAAATACACTGCCCTATGTGTGGTAAATACATAAGGGAAATTAACCCTATACAGTTTTTTCCTATATTCAACATGGTATCAAGAGCTTAAGGTCTCTTGGGATTTTTTTTCGGCTCTGCCACTGAACCTGCAGCTGTCGCCGCCTCCATCGCTGCCGCCGTCGCCACCGCCGTCCGCCGCGCGTCGCCGTCGCCGGAGTAGCGGTTCGGACCGCCGAGCACAGGGTTTTGCTCACCTCCTCCGTGCGACCTCCACCGTGGAAGTTTCGCGGTCATCGGAGCAGCCACGCTCCCTCACGCGCCTCCCGAAGCCGCGCCACCTTCTCCCGTTCCGCCGCGTGTGGCGGCGCGTCTCGCCGCCGTTCGAGCCGCCGATCTTTGCGCCGGCGTCGCCTCCTTCTCCTCTCTCCGGATCTGTCCTCGCTTGCTCCAATCGGACCTCTTTGGTGTTTTAGGGTTTTTCTCTCTCTTCCTCCATGGCATCTTCCGCTGCCACTTCCAATTACGAAGTTACCTCTGCCGACTCCGGTGGGTCCGAGCAATCTGTTTTTACTAATTATGTCAATGTGAATTTACCCATTGATAAATTAGATGGTACGAATTATGCAACTTGGGCATCCGATATTAGACTTTGGCTTGAGAGTCGGGGTATGTTGATCATCTTACTACCAAGGTAGATGATGTTCCTTCCAATGATCGTGTCCGTTGGAAGAAAGTTGATGCTCATATATGTATGGTTCTCAAGAATACCATCCAATCTTCTTTAAAACAAATTTTTCGATCGTATGGCACATGTTATGACGTTTGGGAACAAGCAAAATTATTATACACCAATGACACTCAACGTCTTTATGGTGTTTGTTACAATCTTCTTGATGTTATTGCTCCTCGAGATAAGGATCCTGTGGCGGATTATGTGGGTAAGATCCATGCTCTTCTCCATGAATTTAATGAGTTATTACCCCTCGCCTCGACTCCTGCCCAAGAATTAGAGCAACGATCAAAGTTTTTCATGGTTTTGATGTTACACGGACTTGCTGATAAATATGCCCTCGTTCGTGACCGGATTTTGGGTTCCCCTGTTACACCCAGCTTTACCGCTACCAGTTCCTCCCTTTTGCGGGTGCCATGTAAACCTCTCAATATTCCCCCGTAGTTTCTAATGATTCATCTGCCTTGGCCTCTCACCGTGATGATCGTAATCGCTCTCACAAGCCGGGCAAAGGGCGTGTCAAGTGTGACCATTGTGGCAAACTAGGCCACAAAATTGACAAATATTATGCTTTACATGGTTATCCTCGCCGATCTCGCTGCAGTTGCTCGGACTGATTCTTCAGCACAATCCTCTGCTGTGGATCCTCCTTCGTCTGTACCTTCGGACAAATCTGCTATCTTCAATGATTTTCTTCAATGGTATGAGGATCGAAAGCCCTCCGGTTCCACTACTTCGTTGCCCACACGAGTACATCTTTTGCTTGGTCCGACTCACTCTTCTTCTATTGGCCCTTGGGTTCTTGACTCAGCGCCACCGATCACATCACTGGTAACAAATCCTTATTTTCCTCTTTCACTTCTTCTCATAATTTACCCTCTGTTACAATGGCTAATGGGTCTACAACTTTAGCTCATGGTGTTGGAACGATTACTCTTTTTCCCTCGTTGTCCATTGATAATGTTTTGTATGTACCCGAGTCCCCCTTTAACTTATTATCCATTAGCCGTCTAACTCGATCTCTTGATTGTGTTATCTCTTTTACCAAAACTTCTGTTTCCCTACAGAACCGGAACTCGCAAAGAGTGATTGGCACCGGATGTGAGTCACATGGACTTTATTATCTTCAACCTTCTACACATGTTGGCACGGTTATGGAGTCTCCTTCTCTCCTTCATGCTCGGCTTGGTCACCCCGAGTCTGCGCAAATTACGACAACTTGGTCCCGAGCTTATCCCGAGTTGTCCAATTTGGTGTGTGAGTCCTGTCGATTAGGCAAACATAGTCGTACTTCCTTTTCTCGTAGTGTTTCCCAGACGTGCTTCATCCCCCTTTGCCTTAGTTCACTCGACATTTGGGGACCCAGTCGTGTTAAGTCTAATTTAGGTTTTCAATATTTTGTTACTTTTATTGATGATTTCTCTCGTTGTACTTGGTTATTTTTAATGAAAAATCGTTCCGAGTTGTTTTCTATATTCCAAAACTTTTATCATGAAATTAAAAATCAATTTGGTGTCTCTATTCAAACTTTTCGAAGTGATAATGGCCGTGAATATCTTTCAAACTCGTTTAAACAATTTATGGCTTCTCATGGTATTCTTCATCAAACTTCCTGTGCTTATACCCCTCAACAAAATGGGGTGGTGAGCGCAAGAATAGACACCTTATTGAAACAACCCGTACTCTTTTAATTCATGGTGAGGTTCCTCAACATTTTTGGGGTGATCTTTGTTCTTCACTGCTGTTATCTTATTAATCGTATGCCCTCTTCGAGTTTTAGATAACAAAATTCCCCATTCTATTTTATTTCCTCATGACACTCTCCATCCTTTACCTCTCGAAGGTTTTTGGGTCTACTTGTTTTGTCCACAATTTTGATCCTGGTCATGACAAGTTATCTCCTCGATCACACAAATGTGTTTTCTTAGGATTTACTCGATCCCAAAAAGGATACAAGTGTTTTTCTCCTTCTCTTAATCGATATTTTGTGTCTGCCGATGTCACCTTCAATGAGTTTTCCTTTTACTTTAAGGACCCTTCCCTACCTGCTGAGTCTCCATCTGCTACAATTCCCATTCCTGTTCTCATTGATCCTTATGTTGAGGACCATCCACCATTAGCCCCTCCTCCTCCACCACCCCTTCAGGTTTATAGTTGCAGACCTCGCCCACAACAGACGCCACATGACTCACTCCCAGTGCCAAATACTCGCCTCCTCCGGTTCAGTCCACGAGTCCGACCTTCCTATTGCCCTTCGTAAAGGTACGCGTTCTACTCGTAATCCTTCTCCACTTTATACTTGCTTTAAGTTATCATTGAATTTCTTCACCATTTTATACACGTCTCTCGTCTATTTCTTACGTGTCTATTCCTAAATCGTCTCTCGAAGCCTTAGCCCACCCTGGTTGGCGTCGAGGCCATGCTAGATGAACTCGGTGCTCTTCGGACTAGTGGAACTTGGACGCTTGTCCCATTACCATCTGGAAAATCTGTTGTTGGTTGCGGGTGGGTCTTCGCTATCAAGGTTGGTCCCGATGGTACTATTGATCGCCTCAAAGCTCGCCTTGTAGCCAAAGGCTATACCCAAATTTTTGGGTTGGATTATGGTGATACTTTCTCTCCGAGTGGCAAAGATGGCTTCGTTCGTTTATTCATTGCCATGGTCGCTATTCAACAATGACCTCTTTATCAACTTGGATGTCAAAAATGCTTTCTTGAATGGCGATTTGCAAGAAGAGATTTATATGGAGCAACCTCCGGATTTGTTGCTCGGGGGAGTCTTACGGATTGGTATGTCGTCTTCGCAAATCTTTATATGGCCTAAAACAGTCTCCTAGGGCCTGGTTTGGAAAATTTAGCAGCGTTGTTCAACAATTTGGCATGACTAGAAGTGAGGCAGACCACTCGGTCTTTTACCAGTCACTCGAATGCTTGGATGTATCTATTTGATAGTGTATGTCGATGACATTGTTCTTACAGGTAGTGACCATCATGGCATCTCTCGGATGAAACAACACCTTTGCCACCATTTTCAAACCAAAGATCTTGGCAAACTCGGATATTTCTTGGGTATTGAGGTAGCACAATCTACCGATGGCATTGTTATATCTCAAAGAAAGTATGCATTGGATATTTTGGAGGAAACTGGGTTGATGAATTCAAAGCCTGTTGACACACCCATGGATCCTAATACCAAACTCTTGCCAAATCGGGGGAGCCAATGTCAGATCTCGAACGAGTATAGAAGACTAGTTGGAAAATTAAATTATCTTACGAGTTACTCGCCACGACATTTCCTTTGCAATCGGTGTGGTGAGTCAATTCCTCAATTCTCCTTGTCAAGATCATTGGAATGCGATCATCCGTATATTGAAGTACATCAAAAAGTCTCCTGGAAAAGGTTTGGTGTATGACTCCCATAATCATACAAGAGTTGTTTGCTATTCGGATGCTTGATTGGGCGAGGATCTCCCTCCGATAGAAGATCTACATCTGGGTATTGTGTTTCCATTGGTGGTAACTTGATCTCATGGAAAAGTAAGAAACAAAGTGTTGTGGCAAGATCCAAGTGCAGAAGCGAGTATAGAGCTATGGCCTCAGCTACACTGTGAACTTATTTGGCTCAAGCAATTGCTTAAAGAGCTACAATTTGGAGATGTCACTCAAATGACACTAGTGTGTGACAATCAGGCTGCTCTCCATATAAGCTCTAATCCTGTCTTTCATGAGAGGACTAAACACATTGAGATTGACTTGCCATTTTATTCGGGAAAAGATTATGTTCGGAGACATCAAGACCGAGTTCGTTAACTCATGTGATCAATTAGCGAGATATTTTCACTAAGTCTTTACGGGGACCTAGGATGGATTATCTTTGTACCAAGCTAGGCACATACGATTTGTATGCTCCAGCTTGAGGGGGAGTGTTAGATATGATTAGATATTAGTTGATATTGTTTGATATTGTTGAGATATTGTTAGATATTGTTAATCACAATATCAAATAATATCTTTTTATTTACTCTATTTGTATTCTATTACTCTTTTGAGGAGTACCTTTCTTTATTATAAATACACTGCCCTATGTGTGGTAAATACATAAGGGAAATTAACCCTATACAGTTTTTCCCTATATTCAACAATCTCTTTGTTTCAAATGGGATAAATCAGATTTATATGCATGTTTTCTTATTATTAATATTATGAAAAATTGTTCTGTATGTGCTTTTGGCATCTAATATTTCATCTAATCATTGTGACATGGTTCATATTTTCATACTGTCTTCAGGCTGTTCTGAAGGAGTATGCAGAAAAGAGTATGTCGTTGACCATTGAGCTAGTTAGATGCAAGTTGACACTGTTCTATGATTACTGGCAGATGACCGAGGTATATTATACGAAAGACCCACTGTTATACACATAACCCGCTTTTTGGTGTGTATCTAAGTTTTTCACAGTACATGTTATTCTCTCTCTTTGTGCACGTGTCACATGCGTGTTGGTCTTTCACGACAAAATGAACTTCTCACCCATATGATTTGCTGGACTTGAACATTTACTTCTAATCAACATATAATTCCATTTCTATTTCATTCCTTTTGTGTATTTTCTATACAACAACAAATTTTATCAACTTGGGAAGATTGGATTTTAGGTTACAATCGACATCTGGTTTATATTATTGGGAAGTCTCATATTGTCTCCTTTAATTCTAGGAGTATGACTCATACATCTATAAGTAACTTCGTTTAATGTCAATTAGTTTTAAGATGAATTCTGATACCTGGTCTAGCAGAGCAGACATATGTGGAGAGTTGGTGGTGGGAGTCCCACATGCTTGCCTCAATTCCTGGAGCGTGGATTATTTATCTGTTGACAACATCACTTAACGTCAATTAATTTTAAGACAAAATCTGACATATATCAACAATTATTTTTTAAAATTAAATTCATATTCATGTATGCAATCAAGAAACATTTTTGTGACCAGTGATGTTCTTCATTCAACCTCAAATTGTGAATAAAATAAAAAAAAATTATCTGGTCTATATCATTGTTGCAGGTCTTGGAGGCCTTGCTGCCTGAGGGTATGATTATTCCTTCAGCTTTTGAGACTGTTGGTCATATAGCACATCTAAATTTGAGGGATGAACATTTACCATACAAGAGGCTAATAGCAAAGGTTTTTATTTTAGAAATATTTTTTGGTTACCATATTAAATATGAAATGTAAAATTGTATAGCAAATTTTTATGATTAATTTATGAAAGGCTGCTTTCATATTCAGGTTGTGCTGGATAAAAATAGGCCAAGGATACAAACGGTTGTGAACAAGGTTGATTCCATTCAAAATGAGTACAGGACCATGCAGCTTGAGGTTTTGGCCGGAAACCACTCTCTTGTGACAACAGTAGTTGAGAATGGAATGCGTTTTCAAGTTGACTTAGCAACAGTGTATGCTCTTATTTCCATCCCTGACCAACATAGACGGCTTGGTTTATTAATTGCTCGATAAATGTTATTTCATGAAAATTGTTTGATGATGGGATACTCTAATTGTATTATCTAACACTGGTGAAGCAAGTATATCCTTATCCAATCTGAAATCTATGCCTAGTCTAGGAACCATGTGATTGGTAGGTACCAGCAAGCAAGAAAAATTAAAGGAAGGACTTACGAATGTAAATATTTGTATTCCAGTAACATATCTGAATCAAAGATTCTGGTATATACTGTGAACAATGGTATAAAAATGAAAAAGACTGGGACAGTGCTGAGTGTCTAGTCTCTCCCTGTCCAAACCTAACTCCAGCCTACCTTCTGCGTCTTCTTTGGCTTATGGTCTCTCTCTCTCTCTCTCTCTCTCTCTCTCTCTCTCTCTCTCTCTCTCTCTCTCTCTCTCTTTACAACAAACCCACAACATGCGGTCTTAGATAGGCATTGGTATTTGGTGTTCCTATCAATATAGACAAATTTACCTTTTAGATTCTCTGTCTTTCTTTCTACTCATTCACACATATAGTTTATTTTGTTAATGTAGTTATGGGTATTGATACATTTATATGTATGTTTATATTCTACAAAAAAACTCTTACGAACTGTACATTTTAGACTCTTTAGTGTCATGTGCATACTATGTTGTCTCAATCCTGGCTTACTTCCCATGCGTTCTGCATCCCATTCCTTTAAATTATTGCTAAAGACAAAAGCTTTGTGCACTTCATAATGTCAGAAATGATGTTTTCTAGATGTTAGGGCATATATATATATATATATATTGTTGCTTTTCTGGTTATTAAGAATTGGTTGCCCCCCTTCAATCCATATAATTAGTAGAATTATGTGTCAGGTCTATCAGTTGAAAGGTATATGGAAAGCCTTTGTTGTGACCTCTAAATGTTCTCTTTATTCCTCTTTTAATTACAATATTATTCTTCATATCAAGAAACAAACAACAGAAAGCCTTTCAAGTTGTACTGGTACCTGACCTTTTAATCTTTGATAAGGAAAGAACTGTAAGAAGAAATCTCAGAAACCCAGAAATTGGTTGTGTTTTCAGAAATAGATGAGAAACAGAGAAAGGAGAAGGATAATAAATGATTTAGCAGAGTTTATTGAGCTACTGAGAAAGAATCAGTGAGGGAGAATTCTCCTTTAAAGTATTTCCCCTTCACTTAGGGGGTATACTTTTCATGGCAGTGCTAATGCTCAATTCTGAAATGATAACAAAAAACAAAAGAATTATCTTCTACACTTTCCTAGTATTTAAGCTAAACCAGCCAACTAATTCAGCAACCAACTACTTTTCCTATTGTTGAAGTATTTATTAGATTAAAAGTATCTTGTTGGACATTTATGAGATTAGTTGTAGATCTAGTTCCTAGAATGCATCTGTTTATCTTCTCTAGGATTAATCATGTCTCTCTATTAATTGTATCTCTGAATCTGTATTTTTATCTCCTATAAATAAGAGAACACAAGAAGATGATTTCAGGCTCTCAAAATCAGTTCTTTATTTTCTTTTTTCTATTTCAAGTTGGTATCAAAGCGGGTTCATCCCGCTCTGCCTGTCTGTGTTTTTTTTTTCTGGCATTAATCGCCGTCCGCCGCCGTCCGCCGCCGGTGTTGTCTTCTCCGGCGCCTTTTTCCTCTCTGATACTTGGGTTTGGCTCGCCTCGAGGAGCGCGACCCAACCCCAGTGTTCGCTTCCTCTATCTCTGCCTCACGCGCCACCCTCGTCCGCGGCTTCCTCCGCGCGTGGGCCTCACGCGCCGCCCTCTCGGTGGCTGTTTTGCTCCGGGCCACCTCTATCCAGGCTTGCCTCGTCGCCCCGGTGCCGGATCTGCACTTTGTTTTGTGTTCTCGGTCACAAAACGTGGTGGGTCTGCGTTTTTCTCTCTGCCTCTCTCGGTCCTCTCTCCGACGACACGGCTGGTCCCTTCTCGTTTCCTGGAAAATGTCGGGATGCGTATGCGTATCTTTTTCGGGACTCAGACTATAACCACGGAAAAATTAAATGGGAAAAATTATTTGTCTTGGGCTTCCTCTGTTGAACTCTGGTTTCTAGGTCAAGGAGTTCATGATCATCTAGAAGAAGATGGAAGTACTATACCAGCGAGACCGAGACTCCTCAATGGAAGAAACTGGATTATCAACTTTGTGCACTATTATGGCAATCTGTTGAACCACATGTTTTGAGCACTCTTCGAGCCTTCAAGACATGTAATTCTTTTTGGAAAAAGGCTCAAAATATCTTTGCTAACGATATTCAACGACTTTATGATTACTGCTAATAGACTAGCCTCCCTTAAGCAAGAGGATAATTCCATGATGTCCTTTGTTCTTGAAGCTCGGTCGAGTGTTGAAGAATTAAAAATGTTTACGGAGGCAGAATCATTAGAAGAAAGGAAGACGAAGACTGGATAAATTCTATATGGTAATGATTCTTAGGGCTATGAATCCAGAGTTTAATCATGTTAGAGACCAGATTCTAGCTGGAGAAGAAGTTCCTTCTACGGAGAGTTTAATCACAAGGCTACTTCGTGTTCCTTCTATCAAAAGCAAAAGCAGATCGGGAACTTGCTGATTCTTCCGCCATGATTTACGCTCGTGGAAAAGGTAATCACGAGCTCTAGAGGACGTGGTGGGAAAGGACGTCCTCAGTGCTCTCATTGCAAAAGAATGAGACATACTAAGGAAAATTGCTTTGCTCTTCACGGCTTTCTGATAAGGCGACTAATACCTCAAAATGCGAAGTTGATGAGCCCAAGTTCTCTCATGAAGAGTATCGAGAATATTTAAGGATGAAATCAACTAATTTGGCTCAAGCATCTACAACACCAAATTCGTCACTGCTTGCATTTCGCAATCTGTGGAAAGTCAAAATCCATGGATTATTGACTCAGGTGCTTCGACCACATGTGCAGTAATACCTCTTTATTTTTCTCTCTTTCATTTCCTAAAACATCCCATCTCATATCTTTAGCTAATGGATCTAAAGTAGCCTCTAAAGGAATTGGTCAAGTATCCATCTCTTCTTCTTTAAACCTTCAAAATGTTCTTTGTGTTCCTTCTTTTCCATTCGAGTCTTGTTTACGTAAGCCAATTAACCAAATCATTGAATTGCTCAGGTAACCTTTAATGCCAATTGTTTTGTTATCCGAGGAACGTGGTACGAGGTCGATCGATTGGAGAAGGACATGAATCTGGAGGCTTATACTACCTTAGGACTAAGTCATTTGTATCTTGTGTTGCGTCTTTATCCCCAAGCTGTTACATGAGCGTTTAGGGCATCCTCATTTAGCAAAATTGAAAAAAATGGTTCTCGAACTTGAGAACCTTCAAACTCTTGAATGTGAATCCTGTCAACTAGGGAAACATACCAGGTCATCCTTTCCAAATCATTCGAATCTAGATGTGATTACTGCTTTTAGTATTGTTCATTCGGATATATGGGGACCTAGTCGTGTTTCATCTTTTGGTTTTAGATATTTTGTTACTTTTATTGATGGGTTTTCTAGATGTACTTGGGTTTATCTTATGAAAGATCGTTCGAACTATTGCCTATCTTTAAGTTTTTCCTTAATGAAATCAAAACTCAATTTGGAAAAGTAATCAAAGTTTTACGAAGTGATAATGCCAAGAGTACTTTTCTAATGATTTTTCTAATGTCCTAAATTCTCAAGGCATTTTACACAGTCCACGTGTCCTCACACACCACGGCAAAATGGTATAACGAGAGCGAAAAAATAGACATTTGGTTGAAGCTGCTCGTACCTTATTCTTTGGGTGCCAATATGCCTATTCATCATTGGGGAGATGCTATTCTAGCTGCATGCTTTCTCATTAATAGAATGTCATCTTCTTCTCTTGATAATAAAGTTCCACACTCTATTCTATTTCCAAAGGAACCAATTTTTCATGTTTCTCCTAGGGTATTTGGATGTATATGTTTTGTTCATGACATGTCTCCTGGCTTAGATAAACTCTTACCTAGAGCTATCAAATGTGTCTTCTTGGGGTATTCTCGTCTTCAAAAAGGATATCGGTGTTATTCTCCTGAAACCAAGAAGTACTACATGTGCTATTAATGTCACCTTTTTTGAATCATCATCCTTCTTCCCTTATTCTATGCGGGATATTGATTCTGTCCAAAATGTGCTTCTGTTCCCTTAGTTGAATCGAGTTGTACCTCCTATTTCGACCAAAATACTCTAGAATCGAGCATCACGGCCTATCATCACCTATCAACGCGGGAACCAGGTGAACAATCCCATTCCCCAAGATGAGCCATCCATAACAGGTCCTTCACCATCATCCTCTAATACCACGGCTCTGATAACGATGATTCCAGTTGGCCCATTGCCATTCGCAAAGGTACTCGTTCTACTCGTAATCCTCATCCCATTTACAATTTTCTTAGTTATCATAGATTGTCTCCTTCCTATTGTTCTTTTATTTCCTCTGTCTCCTCTATTACAATTCCCAAAAATGTGGTCGAAGCGCTTGATCATCCTGGATGGCGACAAGCCATGATTTACTGAAATGCGAGACTCTTGATCACAGCAAAACTTGGGAGCTTGTTCCTCTCCTTGGGAAAGAAAACGAGTTGATTGTCGTTGGATCTATGCTATTAAAGTTGGGCCCAATGGTCAGGTTGATCGTCTTAAAGCAAGGTTAGTGGCTAAAGGGTATTCTCAAATATATGGACTTGATTATTGTGATACTTTTTCTCCAGTAGCCAAAATGACCACTGTCCGCCTAATCCTTGCCATGGCCGCCATTCGTCATTGGCCTCTTCATCAATTGGATATGAAAAATGCTTTTTTGCACGATGACTTAGAAGAAGAAGTTTACATGGAACAACCTCCTGGATTTGTTGCTCAGGGGGAGTCTGGTTTGGTTTGTAAATTACGTCGATCCCTCTATGGCCTAAAACAATCTCCACGGGCTTGGTTTAGAAAATTCAGCTCTATTGTTCAAGCTTTTGGATTAAAACGCGAGTGAAGCAGATCA